TATTCATATACACATAAGTGTGTGCATATGTGTGTATGTATATGTATATACACACAAACACATGAACAAGGAAGCCGCCGTGGTGTAAAACAGCACGACGGATTGTGGGTACACACGGACATACAGGCAAGCTGAATTATGGTAATTACAGACAAAGAAGCAGACAGAATTATGGGTACTCTCAAATAAACAGGCAAGGAGGATCGCAGGTTACTACTCTCTGGCAAAGAGGGGGCATGACTGTGGGTACTCACGGGCAAGCAGGATCGCAGGTTACTCTGCGGCAAAGAGGCGGCATGATTGTGGGTACTCACCGGCAAGGAGGATAGCAGGTTACTCTCTGGCAAGGATGTGGGCATGACTGTGAGTACTCAAACAGGCAAGATTGTTAGCCCTCACAAACAGACAGGATCGTACGTATATTTACACGCACAGATGCATGTGGTATTGCGGGTACTCAGAGACAAACATACAGGCAGGCAAGATTGCATGTGTACTCCTAGATAAATAGACAGAGAGGCAGGATCGACCCTGTACTCACAAACAAAGAGGCAGACATGAAGTCTGAAGAGCAAGTGTACACAGACAGAAAGTGAGGAGCCACGATCTCAGCTGCCCACAGACACACTGTACCTGCCTATAAACAACCTGCCACTCTCCTGTATACAACACCACAAACTGATATTTAAAAAAAAAATATTATCTCCACAGCTGTATGTGCCCAGATGTACACAGGGTTACATTACACGAACTGCCCGATCACAAATCAGACGCACACACGAAACAAAGAAAGAAAGAAAGATATAAACACCCAGGTTCCGGTTACAATGATAAGAATAATAGCAAAGGTAAGAAGAACTGAGCTGATGTCATCCCAGAGAGCTGTTTGGATTAGTTCGTCGATGCCAGGCATGATAAGAGAGAGGTAAGGCACCAAAGTGACTGGGAGATGGGTGATGACGCCGTCACGGGTAGGCAGGAAAAGGAGGGGAGGGGGTTGTGTTTTAAAGAAAGAAAGACAGAAAGACAGACAGACAGAAACATCAAGAAGAAGAAGAAGAAGAAGAAGAAGAAGAAGAAGAAGAAGAAGAAGAAGAAGAAGAAAGAAGAAGAAGAAGAAGAAGAAGAAGAAGAGAAGAAGAAGAAGAAGAAGAAGAAGAAGAAGAAGAAGAAGAAGAAGAAGAAGAAGAAGAAGAAGAAGAAGAAGAAGAAGAAGAAGAAGAAGAAGAAGAAGAAGAAGAGAAGAAGAAGAAGAAGAAGAAGAAGAAGAAGAAGAAGAAGAAGAAGAAGAAGAAGAAGAAGAGAGAAGAAAGAAGAAGAAGAAGAAGAAGAAGAAGAAGAAGAAGAAGAAGAAGAAGAAGAAGAAGAAGAAGAAGAAGAAGAAGAAGAAGAAGAAGAAGAAAGAAGAAGAAGAAGAAGAAGAAGAAGAAGAAGAAAGAAGAAGAAGAAAGAAGAAGAAGAAGAAGAAGAAGAAGAAGAAGAAGAAGAAGAAGAAGAAGAAGAAGAAGAAGAAGAAGAAGAAGAAGAAGAAGAAGAAGAAGAAGAAGAAGAAGAAGAAGAAGAAGAAGAAGAAGAAGAAGAAGAAGAAGAAGAAAGAAGAAGAAGAAGAAGAAGAAGAAGAAGAAGAAGAAGAAGAAGAAGAAGAAGAAGAAGAAGAAGAAGAAGAGAAGAAGAAGAAGAAGAGAAGAAGAAGAAGAAGAAGAAGAAGAAGAAGAAGAAGAAGAAGAAGAAGAAGAAGAAGAAGAAGAAGAAGAAGAAGAAGAAGAAGAAGAAGAAGAAGAAGACTAAACATTTAAAAAACATGACGCTTTGCTGGGAATTTCCCAGGAAAGGACTCAACCACATATCCTATGTAGCGAGATACGCAAAGCATTTAAACCCCAAGCCCTCCGATATTTCACAACCGCAGGAGCACAAAATATATCTGGAGCTACAAAATAAAACCGAATATATTTGCTGGCAAGAATCATGGGCAGATAGGGTATAACGGCCTTATCTGGTTCATTTCGTTATCGAAACTATAAAGTTTTACAGATATCTACCTGTGTATAAACCTGTCTGTGGGGCCTGGGCGTGCTAGTTATATCTCTATAACTCTTTACTCTGGAGGATGGCGATAAGGGAGTGCAAAAAAAGAAGGGGGCGAGAGAGAACGAATGAATGAACGAACTTTATTTTCAAAGGGTTGCAAACTAGGCACGCAGGCCCGTCTTACATTCGGCCCTTTCAAACACCCATCTTTTACATAGCAGTTGTATTTTATCAATAAAGGACGTTATGTTCATCTAATATTATGCATATTACGGAGAGAGAGAGAGAGAGAGAGAGAGAGAGAGAGAGAGAGAGAGAGAGAGAGAGAGAGAGAGAGAGAGAGAGAGAATTGAGAACTAAAAAGACAAAGAGAATATATATACACACACACACAAATACATCCTCTTGGGGCGGGTTATTTTCAAGGGGTCACAAATTGGGACTGCAAGTTCATGGTGTAAAGAGAGAGAGACGAGGAGAATAAACGTGACGGAATGGTGAGTGTGAAAGGATTGGGGAGGGGTGGGGGGTGGGTGGAAGAGGAAGACAAGACTATCCGGGGCAGAGTGTTAACTGCATAAATGAGAAGTGTAATACAATGAGACACCGGAATAAAATAAATAACATTAACAGAACGCACAAGACCAGAACGGCTACTGCCAGACAAAACAACATTTGGACTGTGTTAAAACTGCTTAATCACCAAGCAAAGAATAAACACCGGGTACCCTGCATAACCATCAATGGTTGAAGCAATGCTGAGCTTAAAATATGTATTATCATATTTCTTGTTGCCGTTTAGATTTAACTAGCGAGGACACAAGCAATTAAAATATAGAGCAATGTCTTCTCCTGGTATGGTTCGTTGTCTCTCATCCAAACCTAGCCCGGATACACAACTCATATACTTGTGGTCAAATGTTACAATGCACATCTCAACTCAGACGTTGTTAGCATGGTAATTTTTCGTTAACTTTCATGGTCACTGTCTTATTTTCTTTGCACATGGGGGTTCTGCACCCCACTACAGGGGAACTGGGTGTGGGGGGGGGGGGGGTTGTAGAGGTGTTTAGGCTCCATGTCGCCTAACAAGCATGTCGTAAAAGGCGACTAACTATGAGCGTTTTCCTTTGTATTCGGAATGCATTTGCCTAAGAGGCAAGGAACCAATGGATGTGCACGCAAAGGCCAGAATGGACGACAAATCAGAACTTTCTGCTGGGGTTTACAGGTGGGGGACGCTAGAGGGGAGAAGGCCTAATTACAAAACAGCCAGTAGTGACATTATGTGGTATATTAAACACTCGTCTAACTTACAGAGTTGCCTTCCAGTGAGTAATAGAAACAAGAAACATCATTGCTATTGTTTACCACATCATCAAAGAAGCCTGTAAAACCTGACCTTGTGAGTCATCAAGGCATCGCTGAACTGATGACGTTTATCGATGCTGACGGCGTCTAGCTTGTTTACAAGGGGAGGTGATCAATCATCTCACACACAGGAGAGATAACTCTAGACACCGGGAATGTCTACACATGGGAATATCTGTAGAATCTGAGGGGTTACCAGACGGAAGCTGGCATCATCTCATGGAAGCTGAGCATGCAAGGTTTTCAGATTAGGGTCTCAAGGCTAGGATTCTCGTTGGCTTCTGGGGCCCCAGTGTGGAGGGGGTAGAGGAGATTAGACCCACTGCTGTCTAATAATCATGAGGCAAGAGTAGACTAATTAGCGATGTTTCCTTTAGAGTCGGAGTACATCTGCTGGAGAGGCGAGAAACCAACAATCTGCACACAAATATGCGAGATCTGTAAAACGGATGTGAAGGCACAAGTCAGGTTCTGGAACCAGAAGTGGGCGACCAACCAGAAATGTCCGCCAGAACGTTTACAGCTGGTGCACACTAAGCAGTTCACCGGCTGTAAACTCTGGCATTAAGTTTTACAGATCTGGCTTATCTGTTTGCAGACCATTGGTTCCTCGCCTCCAAGGCAGATGCACTCCGACACTGAAACCAATAATCAGTCGCCTCCTACGACATACTTGATTTTGAGAAGTGGGTCTATTATTTGTTCTCAAAACTGAAGCACAGAGAACCACACTAGGACCTTTGCATCTAAGAACGCCAATATTGTAATCCCCTTCGACAAAAATTACAGTAACTAAAGCAATGCCCAGATAACTAACTGCCCGTCATGTGCTGAAGAATTCAATTGACCAAAATAATAAAAGTCGGACGGCTGTAAGATTACCAGTTATTGCAATCAAAGGGAAAAATAGGCGTGTATAGATGAAGAGAGTCACATATGAAGTGACAGACCATCATATGCAGGCCAGCAGACTGACTGACTGGCGTGTGAGCAGATCAAACAGAAGGCAGACAACATCAACAGGTAAGCAGACAAACTAAAAGATACACAGAAAAATTAAAAACAAAAGAGAAATTAGTGAGACAGGCTGATGGTTACAAACGTAAAGAACGGATATTCATAAACAGGAAAGTAAACAGAAGCGCAAATAAGCAGATATACCAAAAGATACATAGGAAGAGAGAGTAAGTCAGTGAGACAGACTCAGACAAATAATCAAGAGCCAAGAATGCAAAAGCAGGGAAACAGACGGACGAACGGACAAAAATACAGACAGACTTGTGCACACACAGGGAAGCAGTCAGACAGACAGACAGACAAATAAAAAGATAAACTAGAAGATACATAGTAAGACAAGGAAACATCACTGAGACAAGCTGACAGTCAGAAAATCAACAGACAGACATGTACAAGCAAACAAGCAGATAGTCAGACAATCAATATACAAACGGACATACACAAGCATACAGTTAGACAGACAATCAACATACAGACATACACACAGAAGTAGGCAAGTGGCTAGACATGCACAGGTAGACAGACATAGGCAGGCAAACAAAATGAGACAGAGATAAGAATGTAGGAGCAGCATCACTTACCTGGAAGTGCAGGATAATAGTCCAGATAAGACCCAGCGTTAACTTTGGGTTGCCGTCCACAATCTCGTCTGATCGAATGTTGACAAGCTTAATCTGTTGAGGTACAAGCCATCATCACTATTTCGTTGCTGTTTTAGCATCCAAACAATAGCATCATCAACATTACAGTACTGTCGTCACTATAGCACCATCCACACTATAGCAACATCAACACTACCGCATCACCCTTGTCACTACATCACCTGTGTCACTACATCACCCTTGACACTACATCACCTGTGTCACTAAATCACACTTGTCACTACATCACCTTTGTCACTACATCACCTTTGTCACTACATCACCTTTGTCACTACATCACCCTTGCCAATACAGCACCACCGTCACTACAGCACCACCATCATTATAGCATCACCGTCACTAAAGCATCACCGTCACTGTAGCATCACCGTCACTATAGCACCACCGTCACTATAGCACCACCGTCACTATAGCGTCACCATAACTATAGCGTCACCATCACTATAGCGTCACCATCACTATAGCGTCACCATAACTATAGCGTCACCATCACTATAGCGTCACCATCACTATAGCACCACCGTCACTATAGCGTCACCATCACTATAGCACCACCGTCACTATAGCGTCACCATCGATACTATAGCACCATCCATATCAAAGCGGCATTTTTACTTTTCCCTCTCCAGTAGTTTAGTCTGCAGGATTACCATCTCAAGTATGAGAATCAAACAGCTACAATTCTAGGGAACCCCATTCAACCTATAGCCATACAGCACAGTTATACTGGGACAAGGGAAAACGATCATGAAGTCACCTGCAGTCCCGTGATGGTGGGTTGAATTATGTAAGATAGGGGTGTTTCCTTCGAAGTGTGTCTGAGAGATGAGGAATCAACTGTCTGCACAGAAATAAGCCAGATCTGCAAAACGAATTTGCAGCAAATTCTAAGTTCTGGAACAAGATCAAAGTTTAGAAGTGGACGAACAACCAGAGCACTTATCTCTCAACAGCGAGGTCTGTGTATGACCGACAAAAAAAAAAAGAACAATAACCACTAAATAAAATAGCCCACACCACGCAAGTTCTTTCCCTTGGTTCCCTCTGCGTACTGTTGACAGACACGGTCAGCTTTCAGCAAGTTGTTTGCTGTGCATTCTCTACTGCAGCGTTCTTCAACCGGTACACAGTGGCCCAGACATCGGCGGATCGAGGACAAGTTACGGCGGGCGTCCAAAAATTTAAGCTTTATCATGTAACGGGGTAGGATAGAAAGTTATTCTCTTCCAGGATTGCATCTGTGTGATTAACATCTCAAGGATGAGAACCACAAAAGGTAGGAATCCTGGAATAACTGCATTAAAACAATTTTTAAAAAATGTCCCCCAATCCCCCCCCCCCCCCCCACATTTTGGTGAACCACATCCCTGAAAACATTGAGAAACACTGCTTCACTGGATGGAACACAGCCAAACCCATGATGTTTTGGCAGCTTGGTATCACAGTGCCAATTTTACTTTCAGTGATCACTTTAACCACATGTGCTGTCTCCACGAGGTCACTAACATCACTAGGCGAGACAGGGTTACGAATACCAGCATTAGAGAGAAAGATGGAATAAGACCATGTCTGGATTATATTGACAGGCAAACAATGAAATGGTTCTGCCATCTAGTGAGAATGCAGCCAGACCAGATTGCAAATGAGACTTTTTATAGTAAAACATCTGGGAGGCAGGCAAGAGGAAGACCAAGAAAGATGGATGAATAGTGTAGCTGAGACCTGCAAAAGATGAACAAATCCATTACTCAAGCCACCCGAGAAGCGCAAGACAAATAGAGAAAACCATGACACTATGCTACAACCTGGTATCATTGAGACAACAAAAGAAGAAGAAGTGATCACTTTCTAACCAGTCGGTTCTCTGTACCAACGTCCAAATCAACACAAAGCAGTCTGCTGTCAAATCACCTGCATCTAGAATAGAAAGAGTGCCTCCTGAAATTATAAAGCTCATTAGCAAACCTAAGCCATGCCATAACGCCAACTGTTACGATTACGAAATGATACAAGGCACGAATAAAAACAGTGAATTGTTAAAATTATAATCCTGTTTTATATCAGAGGAAGTAAAATTCATAAGGTAACGAAACTGGATAACGATCGATGGCCATGCTTACCCCTTTCATGCGAAGAAAATCCAGTGCTATCTGTACATTCTGGATCTTGTGAAACCTCATGTGACCCCGCTCTCGAGGCTGTAGAGGTAGACAATAAATACAAGAGACATCAATCAATCACAGGTGTAGTAGCACTAGTGGTGGTAGTGTCTGTGGTAGCAGGAGGAGAAGAAACATGGAGTAGTAGTAGTGGTAACAGCAGCATCAGTAGGTGTGGAGATGTTAGTAGAGATATAAATATAGTAAGTAGTATTAATGGCAAAAGAAGTAGCTGAATATCATAATATTGAGACAAGGTCTAATGCGCTTGTGTAAAATCATCAACTTCAACGTGTCAAATGTAAATGTTCATCACCATTATAACTTTAACAATTTCCACTTTTGTAGAGTGAATCCTGCCTTTTCAGAAACCACGCCTTCCAACAATATTCTTTTCTGAATCTCGACACGTTATGTAGTCCAAGTTCGTGAGACACTAAAGTTTTTTTCTGATCCATATTTCTTCCATTTCTTATAGAATGTCAATTCTCTCCCTCCCCACTCCCACTCCATCAAATTTCCAACCCACCACACCCCAACCCCAAGTTTTCTTGATCAGTTGTATGCCAACAATGTGTACGTCACGTTAGTCTCCTCTTTAGTAACAGCGAACTGCCTCACTGCAAACTCATGCTACTTCTATCTTTCAGCAAATGCATCAGTCGTATAATGTATAATCCAACTTACATACTGTCTGTCACATATGTAGAAGTTGTCAGCTCATGGGATGCAATTTTTATTTTTATTTTGAAACCCCACTCTGGCTTCCGCCTGGGGCTCTGAATTTAGCCGGGCCATAATTATGACCTAGCCATAGATATAGCCTAACAACTGAAAGGGGTTTCTGGGACCTCTCCATGGGTGATCCTCATCCACATGGTGGTACTTTGTGTCACGGGGTGTTTATCGCTTGTGTGGAGTCCTGGTGGGGTACAACCTACCTACCTTGAATACTGTCACACACCCCCTGTGCCATGGACAGATGTTCCACTCACCAGAATTTTGTGTGCCAGGACCTCCAGAAGTGAAATGAGGTTATGTCCACATGGACAGATGTTCCACTCACCAGAATTTCGTGTGCCAGGACCTCCAGAAGTGAAATGAGGTTATGTCCACATGGACAGATGCTCTACTCACCAGAATTTTGTGTGCCAGGACCTCCTGAAGTGAAATGAGGTTATGTCCACATGGACAGATGCTCTACTCACCAGAATTTTGTGTGCCAGGACCTCCAGAAGTGAAATGAGGTTATGTCCACATGGACAGATGTTCCACTCACCAGAATTTCGTGTGCCAGGACCTCCAGAAGTGAAATGAGGTTATGTCCACATGGACAGATGCTCTACTCACCAGAATTTCGTGTGCCAGGACCTCCAGAAGTGAAATGAGGTTATGTCCACATGGACAGATGCTCTACTCACCAGAATTTCGTGTGCCAGGACCTCCAGAAGTGAAATGAGGTTATGTCCATCCCTTAGGTCTTCGTAGAGGTCAAGAATCTTTCGCCCGGCCTGACAACGAGTAAAATATGAGTTAGCACATATGATCATTGAGGTGAAGCTGAGATATACAAGAAAACTATCGTAAAACTATCAGTGTGCGAAAAGGCTGATACCTGTACTTTAATCGTCTTCTTATTGTTGTTGTTGTTGTTTCAAGTTGTATAAGCCTAAAGCCCCCTGAACCCCCAAGAAAATGTGAAAGGAGACTGGATACCCCTTCACCCTCTTTGTCAACCTGTGTCAGGCCCATGTCACCACCACAGCTAACATCAAAAGAAGACATATTATGTGACTGCAAAACAACTATTAAAAAACAACGTCATCAAGATTGTGAAAGATGACATGTCTTGTGGCTAGTGGACTAAAAGGTAATTAAAACAGGAAATCTAGCCACTTAATCTAATTGATTTCAAACGAGCAATTAAAACTCTGCTTTCTGAAACGGTGAACAGATGAAAGACAAGAATGATCTTTGATTTTTTTTTTTATGAAAAACTTAAGTTATCTAAAAAGCGATTTAATGTAATTCTAATGAATAATATAGTACTACTTCGAAAACTAATTTACAGTTAATTTGGCGAGCATGGTAGCGTTTTCAGGAGAGTTATGTTTGTGTAATATGGTACACTGTTGCTTTCAACAGTGAAGTGGAGTCGGTTTGAACAGTAGTGTTACTTTGAACAGTAATGCTGTGTTGCTTCGAACAGTAATGCAGTGTTGCTTTGAACACTAATGTAGAGTTGCTTTAAACAGTAATGAAGTGTTGCTTTGAACAGTAATGCAGTGTTACTTTGAACAGTAATGTAGTGTTGCTTTAAACAGTAATGAAGTGTTGCTTTGAACAGTAATGAAGTGTTGCTTTGAACAGTAATGAAGTGTTACTTTGAACAGTAATGTAGTGTTGCTTTAAACAGTAATGTATTGTTGCTTTGAACAGTAATGCAGTGTTACTTTGAACAGTAATGCTGTGTTGCTTCCAACAGTAATGCAGTGTTGCTTTGAACACTAATGTAGAGTTGCTTTAAACAGTAATGAAGTGTTGCTTTGAACAGTAATGTAGTGTTGCTTTGAACAGTAATGTAGAGTTGCTTTAAACAGCAATGTAGTGTTGCTTTGAACAGTAATGCAGTGTTACTTTGAACAGTAATGTAGTGTTGCTTTGAACAGTAATGAAGTGTTACTTTGAACAGTAATGTAGTGTTACTTTGAACAGTAATGTAGTGTTACTTTGAACAGTAATGTAGTGTTACTTTTAACAGTAATGAAGTGTTGCTTTGAACAGTAATGAAGTGTTGCTTTGAACAGTAATGAAGTGTTGCTTTGAACAGTAATGAAGTGTTGCTTTGAACAGTAATGCAGTGTTGCTTTAAAAAGTAATGTAGTGTTGCTTTAAACAGTAATGAAGTGTTGCTTTGAACAGTAATGCAGTGTTGCTTTAAACAGTAATGTATTGTTGCTTTGAACAGTAATGTAGTGTTGCTTTGAACAGTAATGCAGTGTTACTTTGAATAGTAAAATAGTGTTGCTTTGAATAGTAATGCAGTGTTACTTTGAACAGTCATGCAGTGTTGCTCTAAACAGTAATGTAGTGTTACTCTGAACAGTAATGTAGTGTTGCTTTGCACAGTAATGTAGAGATGATGTAACATGGTGGTGCATTGAATAGTAATAGCATGTTAATGTTAACAGCAGGGTGGTACTAATCTGAATTGTGGCCCTGATGTAAAACAAAAGTACTATGACTTTTACTACAACTACTACTTCGTCATATTCTTCTTCTACTTCTTTTTCTTCTTCTTTTCTTCTGCTGCCGCTGCTACTACTGTTACTAATACTGCTGCTGCTGTTGCTACTACTGTTACTATTGCTGTTGCTATTCCCGCTGCTGCTACTACTACTGTTGCCACTACTACTACTACGATCATTCTGTCAGAAAAACGTATAATAATTAGGAGGCCGGTGGCCCTAATGACAGCTATCGTGTTATTGTCTATAAACGAAAAATTAGCCATGGATACTTTCAGACGCGCTGTCAAGACTAACATTCGGTGAAGGCCCTGCTAACTGATAATAATGATATCATATAAAAAAGGAGACTTTAAAATGCAATCGTATCTGTCATTCTGCTATTTATAAATTAAGTTCTTCAGTATGCCTATTAATAAGTATGGGGTCCGCAGCAAACCTTGCAAACTAAGATAGGAAGGCAGTTCTCAGCTACATAAGAACCACTGTTCTAAACGTGAGACCGCACCTTATCTGTGAAATGCTGGGAATGTTGTCACCTTACTCTTTCATTCCAAGAACTTTATCAGTTGCCCTAATCAGGTTGTCGTCTTCTCTTCCTTCTTTGTTCACCGGGTGTGAGCTCCGATCCAAAGTCCTGGTTGTTCGTCCATCTGAAATTTGGCGTTATGCCAGTACATGAGCCTTGCGTGTTTATCCAGTTAGTTTACTGACTTATCTGCGGGCAGTTGGTTGTTCCTTGCCGCTCGGGCACATGCACTCCAACTCTGAAGGATGCTCCCAATTAGTCAACTCCTACGCCATGCTTGCTGGGAAGGCAGTGGCTCTATTTCCGTTGTCCACACAACAGGCCCAGGAACCCACAGTGGGAACTCGGGTAATCAACTATACTGAAATATACCGACTTCCCAGCTGCCAAAGTAGTCAAATATGCGATAGAAGAATCCTCCCCGATCAACAGATTGTGGCAGTATTTTCTGGTTAAGTGTGAGAAGTAACACCGTGCCTTTACCCAACGTTTGGGGATTCAAGGCAAGTCCGTCACACATGACGCACTGTTTGCAACTGAAAAACCGGTAGGTGATCCTCTGTTCTCCTCCTCCTGCTGCTACTTCTTCAGCCGTGTTACAGTTAGGGTGCGATATCTGCGTGTTCGGCCAAACACACCCGATTTCGCCTCCTCAATTTGTCGCCTTTTATGGCATGCTTATTATGGAGTAGTAATGCTACCTCCCACCCCCTTTTCAACAACATAGTGTCCTGGGAACTACACCGGGAGACAGAGTACTCAGTAGAATAAGTCCGACATACGTGACGCATTATTTAGGACTGAAATAGTTGACTTAGTATTTGATGGTGAACAACTTTAACTCGAAAGTTGTGTGATCTTCTATCGATTACAAGTTCACCATGTACTGAGATCACAATTACAAACCCAGCGATCGTTTGTTTAGCTCCACAAGTCTAAATAAATGCATACTACACATCCGACAACTACACAGTGAGCGCAAGATCCTAGACAACCACTACACGTGCACACTACACGTCAAACACTACAATCATGCTAGAAACATTTGACACAATGCAGATACAGTAAAAAATTTAAAAACAGTGAACAGTATATTGTTAAACTAAACAGCGTTAGATGCTAGACAACACGTGTACACTACACATCAACATGACAATCATGCCAAAAACTAGTTACCCAATGCAAATAAAGTATGCAAATAATTAGTAATTATTGTTCATCGCCCCCCCCCCCCCCCCCCCCCCCCCCCCCCCCCCCCCCCTCTCCCACCCCCTTCCCTTTTTCCGCAGAACTTGCGCAGTTCTCTCCTAAAGCTCTACATTGGTGATTATTATATTACACCATTTAATTCCCACTATTCTACACAGGCACCAGTTAATAAATGTGTGGGGTTCGATCCCAGCTGCAGGCCACGCCTTGCGTTGGTTTCGACAGTGTTATCAAGAAAGCCGACCGTCCAGGAAGCAATGGCAAACTACTGGACGTAGATTTGCCTAGAAAAACCACACAAACAGCCAGGGGCAAACCTTTCCAGCAACAAATATTAATACGTAAGGGATCCGTGGCAAACTTTTCAAAAATAAAAGCAGTTCACATGTCTTAGCTACTTGGGAACCGTTGACATAGGCATTAACATCTGTTGGCTTATTTCTGGCACCTTCTATCACTATCTGCCTACACAGAACAAAAGCAAGTCCAAGTGCTACCGTGCTCTAATGTACAACAACACAAGCATGTATAAAAATGGCTGTTAAATAGAGAGAACTACATAAGAAACATGCACTAAGAAATGTTTCATCCAGCAAAAAAACCAAACAAACAAAAAACACACTCAGAAATGAATTACAAACCGAAATACCTGTAAAAATTAAGCTTATACAAGTATGCAAAACTGCATGGGTAAGTTTATATCCATCGGAATCACAGGGGTCTCTCTCAATATACACAGACACCCACGTTCTACATGTGCCTATTCTTTTCAGCAGAGAGGTCAGAAAGTGGCAGAAGAAGTGGATATGATTCTATTTCGGTTCTATACAAAGACATAGGGCGGGAGTCGTAATGACCAAAAGGTCTTGCTTCTGGAAGCACGATTGCTCCGTACGAAGCAAAGAAGGGGAGAAATCTCTCGTCTACACATAAGTATGGACTTTAATTACTGCACACGCCCTATTATTTTGCATGAAATGTTACTGCGTTGTTAACACGTCTGTGTATCCATTTTGATCTTACTGGCGTAATATTCCAAATTTATCTTACTTGCAATGGGTATATCTAATCCCCCTCCCAATCTCTCTCTGCCTCCTTCTCTCTGTCTTTCTCTGTCTGTATGTCTCCCTCTCTCTCTCTCTGTCTCAATCGGTATGTCTCTCTCCTTCTCTCTCTCTCTCTCTCTCTCTCTCTCTCTCTCTCTCTCTCTCTCTCTCTCTCTCTCTCTCTCTCTCTCTCTCTCTTTTTAGATACACATGCGCAACACACACAATGAAGGGTAAACAGGGTATCTGAGATTTGCACTACTGGTCTGCCACGAGACTGAGACTAACCGCAGGTGTCAAACCTTCAAGTAGCCGCAAGGAGGAGGAAGATGGAAGAAAGGACAGAAGTATACATGCAGACTCCATACAGGCCAACATGCACATACAAACAGCATGATGAACAAGCAGAGACTACAGACAACAGCAACACCACCAGACAGTGCCGAGCTATGACCGTCTCCATGCAAACAAACCTTGGT